ATAAGATGCACTTACTTTCCCCCTCACAACAATCTAACTCAGTAACCCTCTACCTCAAGTAGCCCTTGGACCTTGTACATGGTGAAATATATATATATATATATATATATATATATACACATATATATATATATATATATATAAAAAAAGACAGTGGTTGTCTTATAGCCATATCTTATCATCATGTCAGAACCCAATTGAAAATATGTGTGCATACTAAATATTAGCATTTATATTAGGTAGTTTTTCTTGTTAGTAGATATACTGGATGTGACATATACTAGAAAGAGATGTGCATACACCATTACAACAAAATGTAACATTCAAAAAACACAATAGACAACCAAAGATAACCAAGAAAACCCAGAGAGCACAAAAAAAAACAAAAAAAAATCAATCTCTAATGAGTACAGTACCATGTCTATAAAACACAAAAAATCAAACATTTTATTTCCTCAATTACAGATCTTGTTTTCAAAGTTGCCAATATTAGAACAAATAGAATAGATAAAATAATACAAGTGAGGTTTTTTTTAGATTTGGAAGAAAAAATAGATTTGAACTTTAAATGCTTACAATAGCTGCAAAAAAAAAAAAAAAATTTACATTGTCAACAATTTCCAGTAAACTTCCTCTATTCATTCAATTTTCATCTTAAATTGCTGTAGGGAATTGCCATTTGCCTTGCTAAATGTGAACAAAATAAAATTAGCCAATTAAATCAGAAAGATTTCGGAAACAATATTATAATCCAAACAAGATCAACTAATTATTCTATTGAATGTTTTCATTTAGAAACAAAATCTATATAAAAAAGATCTCTTTATCAGATATAAAGTATGTCAATGGGCCACCAGTAGCTATGAAAAGAGGTAAAAGAAAAAATAAGGGTGGTAATCATCAAGAGAGAAAACATCCTTCGAAGAATTTAAGCAATTAAGAAAATAGGGAAGTGGTGGGGAGGTCAGGGCACATTAACCTGGAAATTTATTCAGTCAGTCAAATTAATAAGTTATAATATTTCAGTGACAAGTGAAGAAGCATTGGAGATGGAGTCATTTCTGAAATGAAGAACTGGATTCTGTTGACTGGACTTTTTATCTCAGCTCTATATCAAAAGAAATTTCACACAAGTTACTATATATATATATATATATATATATATATATATATATATATATATATATATATATATATATACACACACAATTATTTACATTGTTTGGACTGTTGTCCTCATCTTCACTGCCATATTCACATTTCGCCATTGCACACTTCAGGTGATTGGAATTTTGAACTGAACCCTTTATTTCCTTCACGGGGTAGATTGTTCTAGTTCCACGTGCCATGCCTCTTCCAGATGTCTCAGTATAAGTTATTTCCCTTTAACTCAACTCTACAAGTTTTCTGACCTCAGCTGTAGCCAGGTATTGAACTCTCAACTCTTTGGGTCAAGTCACTAGATTCAACTAACGCATTTATCTACTGGGCCATGTGTCCTTAAGAGCTGTGAGTTCAATACCTGGGTACAGATGAGGTGAACAACAATCCAATCACCTGAAGAGCATACAACAGCCAAAATGTTGTGAATATGGCCACAAAAATGTGGAAAACAGTCCAAACAATGTAAATAGTATAAATTATTACAATACATCATTTCAGAAATACAGACATATATATCCAAACAAGTTTGATTAAAAAGAACTTACAAGGTGTGTTTGTTTTTTATTAGATTTTTCTAATTTTCAGATAAGGTGTTGAGTATTGTGCTTGATGCTGTGGATAAATTATCTGAAGTTCATATTTTGTTATTTTTGTTCAAATGTTTTCACAGTCATTATCAAAAACTGATATAATGGCTGTATGGTAATTAGCAAAATATTCAACATCTTATCTGAAAATTGGAAAAATATAATAAAAAATTAAGCAGACAGACCAGATCAACTCTTTTTAATCAAACTTGTTTGGATGAATACTTGTAACCTAAATATACTTTACATATATGTGTGCGTGTATAAAATTTCAGGTAGGGTTTATCTGTAAATGAATAAAGACAAAAGGAAAACTTCTCTTAGCCAACACATTTCATTATCTGAGAGACTTTATTAAGACAAATGCAAGAATTCTATTTTGTAACAAGTATTTATATACAATAGCCAAAATATTATTAGTGTTGCAAAATTTTAAAATTTAAGAACACTCATAAATATTCATCAGATGTAAAATGAAAATATATTATGAAATGGACAAAGTCCAACAATTATTTTAAGACATTTCTTATATTTATACGTTCTTTTTATAGATACAAATATTTAAGTAAATGCTCTGTTTATAATAAACAGTATTAACAATATTTACTGGCCTGAATGTCCGAGAAATTGTCATAGAAAATATGTCCTCCAACAGGAATCAAACCTGTATCCTATACGAAACCGTCATATAGCCTGACTTGCTTTTACTGATTTCGCCACAGAGGAGCGTTTCAGTTAGCAAGAAGCAAGGTCGATTTTACTGTTTTTAAATTACAATTTTCTATGAGCATTTACTTAAATATTTGTATTTATAAAAAGAACGTATAAACATAAAAAATGTCTTAAAATAATTGTCAGACTTTGTTCATATGACATCATTAGTTTACATTTGGATATGCATCGAGCAGATATGAATGCACGTGAGAAAATCATGGAAAATTGTAGTTTAAAAAACAATAAAATTGACCTTATTAACCGAAATGCTCCTCTGTGGCAAAATCAGTAAAAGCACGTCAGGCTATATGACGGTTCTGTATAGGATACAGGCTCGATTCCTGTCAGAGGACACATATTTTCTATGACAATTTCTCAGACATTCAGGCCAGTAGATGTTGTTGATACTGTTTATTATAAACAGAGCATTTACTTAAATATTTATATATATAAAAAGAACATATAAACATAAAAAAATGTCTGAATATATATATATATATATATATATATATATATATATATATATATATATATATAAATAACAATGAATGATTCATACAAAAAAGTAGATTAGTAAAGTTAATGATATAAAATCCTTTGCTAACAGAATTTTAAAGGTACATTAACATACAAATCACTTGATGAATGTTATGATTCTTGTTTTTAAATATTATAAGCTGTATAAGGTCTTTCTTTAATACGCACGTACTTTCAACTGTACATTCAGTCATCTTCAGGCATGTTATCAATAACACATTTTAAAAAAAATGTATTTCAATTCACATTATATTTTTTCGTCTTGGATGCTACCTGAATTTTACCAAAAACAAAATAATTTCCATGCCATTTCCATTGTACAGATAATCATTATACCATCCACACACGAGATATTTAACATACTGAGAAGTATAAGTTTATATAATGTTAGCTTATAACCAGTTAACGATTCAAGTCAGATTTCTATCTCTATGCCATATTTCTTCATGGAAATTACAATTCTCCATAGCTTCCAGCTGTCTTGATACTTTGCTCCTTTATAACCCGTTTTTTTTTTTTTTATGTGGTATCTCACTTTCCAGGCTTGATAAAATCCAAAACTGTCTCTGAGTCTTTGTGGGTGACAAATCTCCACCTTCCAATCTATCCCTCACAGGCGGGATGTGGCAAGCCTCTCACTTCTCTATCACTACTTCCACAAAAAGTGCTCAGACAAACTACATTCCCTGGTCCCACCATTTCAAACCTTCACAGCAAGGACACACCATGTCACTTACATAGTGACAAACCACCCACATTCCCTTCATATTCCATTGGTGAGAAGAAAATTCCAATCTAACAGCTTCTTCCTGCGAACCACTGTTCTGTTGAACCAACACACAAGGGGATGTTTTGCCAATCACTGCAATCTTAACCTGTTCAAGGCTAGGGTTAACCACTATCTTCCACTCCTATCCGCACAGATTGCCTCCTAACGTAACACTCTACCTCAAGTGGCCCCCAGGCCTTGTAAAGGGTGAATATTACTGTAAAAAAAAAAAAAAATATATATATATATATATATATATATATATATATATATATATATATATATATATATATATATATTAATCTGAGGTCATGCCAAATATTCCCACTTAAAGGCATAATCTGGCTTACCATTCAGGGTCTTTGCTGTGATATTTACCAAGTAATCCTCTTTTCATTAATATACTGTCAGCAGCTAGATTTTCTCAAAACTAATGGGGAAGCAGCCTATGTAAGCAATGTTCAGTCAGTCAAAATAAAATGAAGGACCTTCTGCAGCTAGGATAGATAGCCATAAACACAAGCATAAGGTTCAAATCTGACACAGGTCAAATCAAAAGTTTATTCAGACAGTGGCTCTACAGAAATTGAATTTATCAGTTCACAGTAAACCAAAGTCAAGATCAGGTTGCAAGGATTTAGGTTACTTGCAAAGTAAATCAAAAGGAACAGATTACTTCTTATCTCTTGTATACACTTCCTTATTAAATACTTCACAATATATGTCAATGTAATGTAAAGAATATATGTACATGTCAATGGAGAATAGGAGGAGAAACAAAAAAATTGTCTGAAATTTGGAGATTAAGCATCATGATAATAATAATAATAATAATTATTCAAAATAGTATCCTTATCTGGCGCTTGTCCAAATAATTTATGAAGTAAAATTATTTCAATAAGGCTAAACTAGATTCATGTGTTTACTAAACTTTATTTTTCATTAATTTCAAAATTGTATTTTTCTTCCTCTTTTCAATTATTAAATTCTTTGATTAATTTTCTATGGCTTTGAAAGTTATTTAAAGCCAAAAATTATTTCTAGATTGAATGAATTTTTTTTTTTTTGAGATAATGATTTAGTGTTACAAGTCTTACTAATTAACCTATAGCTGGAGGTAGAAGCGATGGAATCATAACTTTCCAAGGTAAGTGAATATAAAGAACTCAACTGGAATTAGAACACAGCTCTCCAATTAACAATTCCAAGCTGTTATCCACACATCCAAGCTTACAGCACCTGGTATTCCCACATGGTCACCCATCTAGGTACTGACCAGGGTCAACATTACTTAACTTCAGTGATCATACGGAAACCAGTGTTTCAATATGATATGGTCATAAGCCCAATTTTTAAAGCAATATATAAAAATAAAATCTTTTGTCCATGAAAGTAGATAGGGCAAGTTGAGGATCATTATTTTACATATCTGTTCACAATTGACAATAGGATAGAATTTGTGACATGTTAAACCTTAATTTGTGCAAAATTACATCAACAGCAATGAACCAGGTTTGACACTTAGTGGCTTTGCTCGCTGGGACCTGATCCACTAAGCCTCTAAAGGAAGTGGTTAGCATAAAGTTAATGAAAAAAGAAGACATGAAAAATATATATTCAATTATATAGAATAAAATGAAGTTAAAAATATGGCGGATATAACAAGTGTTTTCTATGTTCTTAAAGAAATCTAAAAAGAATGAAAAATATACAACTGAAATCTTTGTTTCATATATGGCCTTTTTCGTTGATGGTGATGGTCGGCAATGGAAAATAAATTATCTTAAAACACAGTACCTCTCATGGTTAAAATAACCAATGCACAACTGGTACAGTTTTTGATAACCACAGTAGTAGAATATTGTGGAGTCATCCAGTACAAGGCATTTGCATCTTTGTCTAGCCTCTACAGTGCACTGGACTCTGTACTCTCTCAAGCTCTCCACTCAACTCAATCTCAGGCAATTGTGTTCCAGTTTGCAACATTTATAGAAAATTCTATCATGGACATTTTACATTGGTCCTTGAAGCAAAGGTTGGGTCGTCCAACATTACGCGTGCACTCAGTTCCTTATACAGTATCTGTTTGGGAAATCTGGAGTTATCCATGTGCGCAACATACCTGAAACACTAAGATCGCAGGATAGGATATTTAGTGACAGAATGCCAGCTCTTTTGAACACTTCTGTATCCAACAACCTATCTTGCCATTTCATTTTTAGGATATTTCTTAAACATCTCATGTGAAAACTATTGCTTCACATTTAGAAGTTTCTTTCTGTTAATATTTGATAAGTATTTATTTCATCTTCATTTTAGTTACTTTTCATCAGACTGTCATTTTATGATCATTAGTATCTTTCATTTTTTTTATTATTATTAGATAAAGTATTTTATGTTGGAAATTTCTTTCATATTAGTTTTTTTTTTTTCTTGAAGCTACTCAAGCTGATATTCTTCAAACATTGAAATTTGTGTTTGTGTGTGTGTGTATGTATATATATAATTATTTATATATTATATGCACAGTACTTATTAGAAGGCGCTCAATATCAGAGATAGAGCTAACATATTTGGTTGGATTGATGTGAGTTTGTCACACTGGGTTTCACGCTTTTGCGTGTACAGACATGCATCTATGTTTGCGTTAGCATGAGTGACATCACAACGATGATACCCCACACTTCCATAATAACGCCAATACACGCAATCTCCATAAACCCAAAATTTTTTAAAAATTAATCAGTTTGTCTGACGATGGCAAAAGCGTGAAACTCAGGTTCACAAACTCACATTAATCCAACCAAGTATCATTTTTGAAACATGGTTAGAACTGTGTAGCAAAAAAAAACATTTTAAATCAATTAATTTATAATATTAATGCTCTGTAAATTTACATTGAGCACTATTTTGTAAAAATAAAATATCTATTAGAACACCAGATTATATCTTACTGTTCTTTCTTTATATATATATATATATATATATATATATATATATATATATATATATATATATATCTCTTTTCTTTGTACTTCAATTTAATCAAAGGTTAATATATAATATCACTTTTTATTCCACAAATTTGGAATAAAATTGATATTTATTATATATTAACCTTTTGACTAAATTGAAGTACAAAGATAGATATATATATATATATATATATATTAGTGTGTGTGTGTGTTTTTCTGTTCTTTCATAAACCATTTTTCAGTAATAAAAACATTTGTAAAGTAATTGTGAAATTATTCCCTTAATACTATTCAAAACTGACACATTAAAAAGTAAAATGATTAAAAGACTTAATTTTTAAATGTTTTACTTCGGTAAAATTGTCAATGGTTGTTACATATTTGATAAATTTATAAAGAATAATGTTTACTATTCCCAAAATTGCAATCAGATCTGTTAGTAAAAGAAACAAAGAGTTCACTTCTCATAATGGTCAAAATAGAACACAATGAAATAAAAATTAATACAAATGATCAACAGAGATGTAGTTTTCTAATATAACTTTCTATAATAACTGTGAAATTTTTGAAATCCATTAATTATTTAAAGTCTTACATCTTATGTTTTTGCATTATTTAGTATTAAAAACTTTGGACCAACTATGAAGTTTTTATCAGTGTCTAAGAATAAATATTTAGTTTGTGAATGTGACAACCACAAATTTAAAAATTGTTAAATGATACATTCAACATTTGAATATGCAGCATCTATCAAATTACAATAGTGGAAGAAAAATCATTTGCCATGAGAACTGGATATGTGTTTGTGAATGACTGAAACTTTTGGATTTAGTATTTGAAAAACTTTACAGATGGAGAGTTATAAGGTTAATGCCATTACCAGATGTTCTCACAAGAGTTGTACAATTTGCTTGAATCAGGATATAGTTTTAGCAGAAGTTAAAGTTAGAATTCCTTAGCAAATGTTATATCACAAAACAACTAACATAGTGAAGAACTGTTCAGTCATAAAATATTGAATTTATTGTTAAGACATTTTTTTTAACTTTATACATTACAACAATTGTATACCTTCAACTAAATACATTTTGAACACAATCGTATACCTTCAAGTACATTTTGAATGTAATCGCATACATTCAAATAAATACATTTTGAACACAATAGTATGACTTCAACTGCAAATAAAATGTAATGTTGGTCATTTTGCTATAAAATGTATTGTTGGTAATTCTACTATAAAATTTATTACTACTCAGTTTACTTAAAAAATGTATTGTCAGTAATTTGACTATAAATATGTATTGTTGGTAATTTTTTAACATAAAAATGAATCATGAATGTTATTTATTTCACCGACCACATTAGTCTCTTTATCAACAAAATGTTTTTACCTGACATCTTAGTGGATACCTTAATGGTCTCTTTCTTATCAGCAGGAAGTGAGGAATGATGGGTAGTCTTGGTTTTGCTCAATCTTACTGAATTCTGTCTAGTTAAATTTAGGTGCAATTCTCCTTGGAATTATTTCCAAACATGATTTTTCATTTTTAATTTTCTTCAACTTTTCAACCCATCTTCCTATGAATTTTAACAATTACCACCCAGTTAGTAGACTGTTTCCTCTTCCTTCTTTCTCTCTTTTTGTTTGAACAACCCTCTCACAATCATAAGCACTGTCATTTTGGTTTCAACAGGATATTCAGCAGCACAGAATAAAATCATGTCAAAACGTTTTGTACACTACTGTATGACAATAGTGGTTTGGAAATAGTACTAAGTACGAGTTAGTTTATAACACAAACACTAAGGAGCAACATTTCATGGTATCTTGAAAACACACACTATATATATATATATATATATATATATATATATATATATATATATATATGGGATTAATACAAATAGAATTTGTCACTGGCTTGATTGATGCTCTATTCAGCACCTTGACATACATGAACTTTTTGTAATGGTTCAATCTACTTTTCAGGAGGTTTCAGTACTTAACTACTGTTTTTCTCATTTTGTGTTTTACATGGACTAAAGATTGCCTTTGAGCACGAAGCAGAGTGTCATCACACACACACACACACACATATATATATATATATATATATATATATATATATATATATATATATATGAATCAAGAGGAAAATCTTAAAAATATCTTAATGTTAAGCATTTTCAGTCTGAAGAGATGAATATATACAGGTATTCATGAAATAAATTATGACCAAAATGAATGTTCAAGGTTTTCTTCTTTATTATTATTATAAATGCTCTGTAGATTAGATTGAGTTCTCTCTGGATTAATATCATCATTGGAATTATCACCACCAGTCACAAATTGGTAATATATATATATGAAGAAATATACTCTTAAGGTGTGCTATATTTATGGGATAAAGTGCTCAATATCAGAGATAGAGCGTGTGTAAATAAATAAATAAATATATATATATATATATATATTCATAGATATATTAGATGAAATGGATTAAATCCAATAAATGTTTTAATATATTTTCTGTTTATATGCTATTTTTATGGATAAAAATTATTTGAGTAAATGCTCTGTTTTTTTTTTCAATTAAACAGTGTATGAATGTATGTATGTATGTATGTATATAAACTGCAATACTAGATTGAGAGCTAGGTCTCATAATTTCACTGTTGAAATTGTTAGTTCTAACCCTAAGTTTCATGATAATCATTCCTTCTCTCACACTTCTTACTTGGAGAACTGTTTTCCAGCTTCTTGCTTTTGACTTAACTATGATCTTCATAAATTTAAAAACAATTTCAATTGTTATCTTCTGTCTCCTTGAATCCTGCTCTTTTATTGCTCAGTTTCTTTCACTCTCAGTAACCCCTTGCATCATAGTTGCTTTTATTATCATCCTTGGGGTGAAATGATGAAAGAAAAAAAAAAAAAAAAAGGAAAAAGAAAGTGTACACATACACATATCAACACTAGGTATTATAAATTTAATAAAGATGTAAGTTTATCCACAGGTGTGAAAGTGTTAATCTTTTAAGAATCATATAAAAGACCAAAGATTAATTTTGAATTAAGCAAAGGCAATGTAATTATTTGATAAATCTCACTTTAAACTCCATTTTTTGTTTCTTTACAAAATATTATCATTGTCTATAGATGATTTATTCTTTACATTTTAACATCACTTATTTTATTACTAAATAAGAGCAGAAGAAAAAAAAAGCTATTACAACTTCAATCTCCAATGTGATGCAAACAGATAACTCAAAACCATCCTTGCAGATTATTTTTAGCTCTTAGAACACTGACTCTCAGAGTCCAAAATTATATTCCTCACCTCTCAATGCTAGGTTTCTTCAA